CGCCGTATTTAGCTCAGTCCACGGAGCACGGACAATAAGCCGCTAAAGAGTGGCAAGAGCCCTTGGAGAGAGTATACCACCAGCAGATAATTTTATAACATATATATATTATATATATATATATATATATTATAATACATACATATAATATTGTGACAACTCCGCGGGCGTCCAAAGCGCATATTGTTTTTCGGTCATTGGACATGTATGAGTTTAGACCGAAAAGGGGTTGCGCCTCGTGGCGTTGTCAACGCTATGTTATTATATCCTTGAGTACACGCGCTAATGCTTATGTTAACCGTGTAGCAAAATTATTTTCTCTGTACAATTGAGAAGCAAAAATACTATTTGCTAAAAGTAAAATATAGCAAAATATATTCTGGCGAACAAATATGTTTGCTAATTATGTAAAATATATTATTTAGGTAGAGAATTATTGCAATTAATTAGTTACCCAATTAATACTGCATATTATAGAGAACAGCGAATGATGTTTGAAAATACGGGACATTCTACTGATACTGTTATTGTTAGTGTCATCCACATTTAAGGTTTACTAAAGTACTGATATAGGCAGGTTATGTAAGGTTATTTAAGACATAAGTAACGAATGCGTTGCAGGCTGCATGTTAAACTAATATAAACTACTAGTTACTAAAAAAAAAAATAATTTCTATTATGGCTTAATATTTTAATAATAATAACCTGTTCAAATAAGAAATCCCTAAAATTTGAAATCCCTGGCTCAACTTTAAGTATTTCTTAATAATTTTTTTGCATTTAATTAACATGAGAAATTAAATTTTTCATTAAGAAAATTCTAACTTCAAAACTAATGAACATTTTTTTAATTTGTAAACAAAAAATTAAAACTAAATAATAACACTTTTAAAGCCTTCTTTTGAAACAATATTTTTTAGCAAGTTAACAGTAAGTCTTGTCATTTTAATGGGCTGTAACTTCATAAAAACAATTTTTAATCAGAAATCTTGAGAACGTGTTTTTAAAGTCATACTTCAGCTTTAAAAATCCCTTTTTTTTTTATTAAAAATATTTTCATTAGTTTTCAAGCTAGAATTTGTTTAATGAAAAATTAAAATTTCCCGTTAATCCAATACGAAAAAAAAATTCACGAGGAAGTAATTAGCCTTAGAAGGGTTGAACAATGAGCTATTTTTCTTCACTTTAGGGATTTATTATTTGAATAGACTACTATCGATTGGGATTGGGGACGAGTAAAAAAAATGTATTATTTAGACACTGTCTATCATTACGGGATGCTACAATATACTTAATAAAATGTATAGGTATATTGCACAACTTTCAAAGAGCTGTGGTGTATTACTACGAGGATAGTGCGGCCTCTCGCGCGGGTTCTCGCGTTCACTGGTATGAAACAGTACATTGGATATAAGCTTATAATAATATATTGGGTCTGTATAACCCGTCGCTGCACGTGTTGCCGCTACAGAAGCGCAAATTAACTGTGAAATGTCGTGAGGTTTTTTTATATTATTATTATCATTCTTTCTATTGTCGAACTCAACCAATTAGTGGCGTTCGAGTAAATCGTCCTAAATGTGTCCTATATATCTGTATAAATAAAAAAAAAAGGAGAGATCAGTAGGAAAAAGTATTGGGGACGGAGGGTCTTATTCGAAGAGGGGGTGGCGGTTGAGACGGAAATAAAGAAAAATTAGCCGACGAAAAGTTTGTCGAATCATCGAACGTCGGGGCGGAGGTCATGAAGTGATTGGGGAAGGGCTTCATGGATTCTTCAGGTCATGGAATTAATTACATCATTAGACATGATTGTCACGTCTCCTTGTGCGTGGCCGTTCAAAGGAAACACGACGACGACAACGACGATTTCTCGGATTTTGAATTGGGCGAAGTGAAAAAATAAAATAAAATAGAAAAAAAGAATCCAGAGCAGGAAAATAAGAGAGAAGGGGAATTGCCAAGAAACTCGACGATCGGCAAAAATGTTTTTCTATCTCCTTACTTTTTTTTTTCTTCCTTCCGGTAGCCGCACTAAACTTTGGCCGATCAAAAGAACTTTAATTAAACGCAATCGAAAAGTCGCCATAGATCGAATTCAGTACATATATTTCCCACATAAGTTGGCATCACGTGCACAATTGTAAAATATTTATTTGGTGAGCTACTTTAAAAGACTATTCTCCCTTATCGCCATTATTGACGACTTTAAACGATAAGCTAGGGCCATTGAGTATACATTATAATTAAACTGCGGTCCAAGATTGAACAATGTTACAATATTAATATATGAGCCAATTTAACAATTCGATCGGTAGTCCACTTCATTCTGATTTGAAACCTCTCATCTGTGCGGATGACGCGAGCACTCGAGTGTTTATTTTTGTAAATAAAAGCATTTTAGTAGCACTGGCAATATTAATAGCCTAAATACTTTTAAGTGCGGACCGCTGTAGATTTCGGTTTGAGTGGGTTTAAAAAACCATTTTCGGCGATTATAATCGATAATAACTATCAATTGCCAAGAGTCCCATTTAGACATCATTTAGTTATTAATGATGAACACATCTAATCTGGGACTTAAAATTTAAATGGTGGCAAGCTAATTTAAAAATATTCCGACAGCAAGGATAAAGTTTAATTAGGGCGTAAATATTATATTCTAAAGGTATAAAAATTATGAACATTCCTACAAGAGTAGAATTATTTTTAAGGGAAGTCTATAATTTGTTTTACCAATTTAGCAAGCTACCTTTGTATGTTTCAATTTCGTTTAAAGGTTCTTGTATTACTTTTTAACAGGAGCAAAGAGTGCTCTCCTGTTTTCATTTTTATTGTGTATGCATTTATTACACTCTTAACGATTTCTTGTGTATATTAAAAAAGTCAGTTAACTCTAAAAAAGTAAACTCTGTATAATGTCTATTATATATATTAGTACAATGTTTATGTAAAAAAATAATTACGCATAACCCAAACTTACGAGGTGGTCCATTGACTGAAACACTGAAATAATCTTCCCCAACAATGATCGCTCTCGAATTATAAAACAAAAAATAGGTAAATATAATTTATAAAATATATCCAACGACGTTGTAATATTATATTATACCAACAACATAATACAATTTCATTCTTTGCGTGCTTTAGTGTCTTATTGATTTGGTGTCCTAATTTACAATTTATTTAATAATTATTATATAAAAAACTTTACAATCGGCATCAAAAATGTTTTATTAGTAACTACTAGTTTAGGCATTTCATCATCATCAGGCTACATAATCAATTTAAAATGACCAAATGATTAAAATTAACAACATATCAAACACATATATAAAATACTCATTTATTATAAACAAATTTTAATAATTAAATAGGTACATATTTAACATCAAGTGAAATTGTAATAAATTTGTATTATCACTGATGTATTATCTTTCACATTGTCAATGTAAATTTTACGTAACCGGATGATGGTTGAACTACTTTTTACCACTTTGTTGATTACATGTACTAAAAATACTATAATATATGAATGTAGTCTAAAACTTTTCAACAAAACATAGTCAACAAAACAGATTTCGCCGGGCGTGAAAACAATATATGTAATATTGTATGTATATTTATATATTATATTTACATGTACATTAAAAAAAAATGTACTTTGACGACTAGGTATATAATTTTTTTTTTTTTAATTAATAGTTAATAATAATAATAATTAATTAAGTACTGTATACAGTATAAATGAGTTATGATAATGCCCGAAAACATACGAGTATTTTTGTTTAATTCAGTACTGTCTTGACTTATTCATTATAAAACATAATACATTTATAGTTAAATAAATTTAACATGATTCTTATATTGGTTTAGGATTTTTGCCCACGTCCAATAACGTAAAACAATATTTTCCTATTCAAAATTAGTAGGTATTTTCATTCGCCAACTAAAAAAGTAAAAACTTAAAACTTGTAGGATAAAACTTGTATAAATTAAAAACTAAGCTATTCGTTAAAGTTAAAAACTAAAACGTTGTCTATTAATATTAATCAATTAATATTGTTAAGTCTTCTTAAGATTTCCTGTTAAATTGAAAAATTAAAAATTAAAACCGTGCATATTTTAAACCTAAAATTTAAATGTATGTTTTTTTTGTTTATTAAAAAATATAAGCTATAAACAGATAAGTATTTTATATCACGAGTACATTTAAAAAAGAAATCAAACTTTTTCTTAAATATAAATATGTATTGAATTATGATAATAATAATAATAATTTAATAGTAAGTTGATATAGTCTGTTGTCTTAAAACCAAAAAAACCGATTTTGACGGTTTTGATAACGTAGATAACTATTAAATATTTATAAAGTTTTGACAATATCAAATTGAACAAGTAGATGAGTTGTAAATATTTAACACCATAATAATCATAGTCTATATTTTTAATTATAACAGAAATCTATATTTTATTTTTTTTCCAAATTAATGTCGCGCAACTATAATTTGTCCGATTAAACATCGTTGTAAACTGAACTTTTTCAATAAGATCTAAAATTCAAAAAGGTATGAATTATTTCTACCTGTGTCTTTGATAATAGACGAACTAGGTACATCATATTGTTATACAACCACAGCGTGTATGATCGATCCTAATTTTACTTTTTTTCAAACTTCTTGATGGATAATGATCACACTTAATTATCATAATATCTCAAATGCTTGAAGGCTATTCAGAAACGCGATATCAACAAGCATTAAAACGACACAGTGTAACACCATGCGGGCGGGCGATTCCGCGGTTGGAGGACGGCGAGAGTGCGCGTTAAGCACGCTACATTGCCATTGGCCGAGCTCGTCCCTTTCTCGGTTCTGACTTCCCAAAAATCCCTTGCGTTCAAGGATACCCGTGTGGTGTGTTTGTATGTATTAATATACACTAGCCGTTATCCTTCCGGCATCGAACCGTCAAGTCGTTATTTTGCGGTGAACCTCTTTTATACACAGTCATAAATCCCTTATTCCAAAACAAACTCATTTAACACGGTACACACGCGGTAAAAACCACACTGTTTCCGTGGTCGCTCTGTTTGGTGAATAATATTAAATTTACCCATCATACCCGCACAACAAGTGTGTCGGTAATACCACTTGAAATTTCCGTTATATTTCGTTCATTTGTCAGCCGGACGGATGACTGAAGATAAGAACCTCACTCCGTTTTCGATAGCGGATATACTGAAAGCCGACCACAATGTCGAGCAAACGAAAAACACCGGCGGAGCATTGGACATGACCAGCAAAAAATGTTTTCTAAAAAAAGGTAATAATATTATAGTAAACCACAAATAATGATTTTAGAAAAATGTCATATGCAAGTAATTTTGTAACACAACCGTCTAAGTACACATTTTTACTGTTGGTGGGCATATTATAACATATTATAGAGTAACTTACCTATCACTTTCACAGTTTACTTTAATTGTATGTACTGTGTACAATGGCGCAACCGAGGGGGTTGTTTTGGGTGTCTGGACACCCCCCTTGAACTTTATCTAAATATATATGATATACGTTTTTCAGTCAATCGAACGCCGGACGCCAATAGAATATTCAGAAATAATTACGGTGGTAGGTTTGAATAAGATAATATAATAAATATTAAATATAAGTCATTTGAAATTCTATAATCATTAACTTTACAAAAAATAATTAGGGGAACTACTGTATACGCTACTGGCGGACACCCCCCTTGAAAAAATCCCGGTTGCACCACTGACTGTGTATGCCAGTATAATATTGCTTCATTTAATATTATTATCCCACAAATTACACATAATTTTACTAAGGTATAAGGAATTTTTCTGACAGATAACACAAATCAATCAAATAAACAACTTAAATTAAATAGACGGACCTGTAACAACATACAATTTAGACAATTTATGTACTACTAAAGAATTGTATTTTAATGATCTCACGATAAGACTTTATTAAATAAAAGCCTCATTTATTAGTTATTTTTATACATATTTAGTATTATTTATTTTATGGTTTATTTCATAAATTGTTAATTTTAAGTGATAGTTTCAAAAATGTTCGATGTTAAAATTATAATACAAATATTTAGAAAAAATATATATACACTATTTGACACGAGATAACCACAACAATACAAATGACATTAGAACTTTAAATTAATGTGTAACAGGAAGAAATTGAATGTTGCTCATTTTCATTAAGACAAATTAATATTTAAAACCCTTAACCATAAAATAATACACTCTTTGCTCAGACTCAGTCTGTCGTTAGCGCTGAAGATCACAACATTTTTGCCGAAATACGTAGGTATACGCCGATACTGTATTATTTTATGGTTAAGGGTTTTAAATATTAATTTCTTCATTATATATAACCATAAGTTGCTCAAGTTTTTTCTAGAAAGACAAATTATTCGGCCAAAAAGAGGTTTAAACCGAAAATGTTTAAAAAAGTACAAATAATCAAAAAAGCAATCATTTTATTTTTTTAATTACATATATTCTAACGATTTGTTTTCTTAAATAGAAGACAAATATTATTTCCCCCTCTTAAAACGTCACTCGCTAAAGTCCAAGTATTGTTAAAGGCTCATTTTAATTGGTAATATTGTCTTAAGTACCACTTACCAGGTAAAGACCGTCTTTTAGAACATTTCAAGGGTCATCACTATGTGTTATATATTATAAAATAATAATATAATAATAAAACAAAAATAATATTTACAAATTGAAATATTTAATATGTAGGTTTATTTATTATTTTTGTTGTAAAATCCTATTTTATAATCTATATTATTTTTTTATAATACACAATTGAATTCTGAAATACATTTTTTATTAAACGTTTTACCTATATCTAATAAAACGCATATTAAAATGGTATGTTGTAAAAATTAAAAAATTCTAAGCTCTGAACCTACTGAGACTACCACCAAGACTGGCACTGAGACTAGCTTCTGGCTTGAAATTTAAAATGTATGTTAAGGCACTTTATTGTGCATTGGTTTATAGGAAACAAAACTTAAATACTGATTACGTTCAATATTAATAATTATAAATGTGTTATAATACTTTTAGTTGTACTTAAAAGTCTCCAGAAAATAATAATTAATGTGCTCTAAGTTAAAAATAAAACAAATGTAACATAATATAAGCTTTATATTTAAAATTCATAAACGTTATTTTAATCATTTGCAATCAAAGTTTTATACTATGTGCGAATTTAAAGCAAAAGGATTTTCTTTAGTTAAGAGTTATAGTTCACTTATATTTTAAACGAATAATTTTAAATTCAACTGCCTAAAAACAAAAAAGGGTTTCTCCTTTTCCGAACTCTTTAGCAAAGTATTTCTAAAGTGTTAACTAAAGCTATACACTTTTTATTCTTTTGTTGACGTTCATTTCGTTTTAACTATCACGTAGTTTAAAGTTAAAAGAATTAATAACTGAAATATTTAAAGTTGTATCAAATTATGAGACATACTGAATAGTATAGTGCTAAATATTTATATTTATAAAAAGAGAGAGAGAAAGAGAGAGACATTTATTACACTTACTATTCATTATGCCTAATAATGACATTATATATAAACTTATATGAATAAATTCTAAATAAAATGCAATTTTAAATAATAATATTAACTATTATTAAGTAAAGGAATTAATTTAAGAATACATATGAGATAATTATAAATATAATATATAAGGATTCGTTTGAACTCTTGTGAGGTCTGCGAATTGACTGTTTAGTTGCTATATAAATAATACATTTTATACGAGGAAAGATATCACGCTTATCAAAAATTATTCAATTTTTATAATAATAATAATTTTTTTTTTAAAGACTTCTTACACGGCACATTGCACTTAGATTTTCAAACTTCAGTATCTGAACGCAGTAAGAAGGCTTTGATTATGATCATTTGCGAATTTTTCAAGCTGGTTTTAGCTTCGATGCTTATGTTTTATTTTTGTGTCTGTACCCACGATATCTTGAAGTCACTGAACCGATTTCTTTGTGAGCAACTCTATAGACCAAAAATCGTACCTGTAAGGTACTTTATTAGAGTAAACATTTAATACATATTCTTTAACTTAAAATTACGGCACTCCATAACTTTTTTTAAAAAGTAAATAGTCTTAATATACTTAGTATACTGTATACTACCGATAATCACTGACAAACCCGAAAAATATAATATAGCCTTTCTCCTAGAAGGGATAGGAATTGTTTCTTTATTTTACTTTTTCAATCAAAGTTTTAGGGATTTAGGTCTGAAATTTGTACAGAAGGTAGATCTAGAATGGAACCATAACATACAATTTTCTCAAAAATCTGAAAAACCCAAAAAGGGGAAATTACACTTTGTCCGTAGTCAATTTCCAGGTTGCTATGTGTGAAGTCAGTAGTTAAAAGGTAATGAAAATATTTGATTCGATCGAAATTTAGTAGGTAAATCAAACTTATGTTTATGTTTGGCCGCTTCATCAATATTCCCGATCAGGGCAAGTAGGTAAGTTAGAAAAAACTGAATTTTTTTATTATTATTAGCCCTTTCCCCCGTAATTGAGTTGCCGTTTGCCATTTATTCAACACTGCCCGTCATACACAAACTGATAAATAGTTTCAGTAAGTTATAGTCAACGTTGAATAAAGAAAACGCCGTCATTAGGTTAATTATTAAAAATATAATGACAACCGATAGTTATTCGTGAAAATGGTCGTTTAAGCGTTATTAATTTATATAATACAGATCGTATTAATAATATATGTATTATAATATTATACCAGTAATCATTTTTTGTATGCTTAGATAACCGCATCGACTACTGCAGTACGCACTTGTATACCTAAATCACACAATAGCCCTTGATGGTCACAGAAGACCGGATGAATATAATAGGTTTTTCTCTCTCTCTCTCTCTCTACCGTTTTAGAAGTGATTTCGAATCTGGTCTTCTCGACAGGAGCTCTAGCCGTGATTATCCACTTGAGCGTACCGCCTACTCCATACAGTGTATATAATATAATATGCCGCAGGACACGCAGAGTGAAGAGTGGGGCGAAAAGTGGATAACACGAGACGGTGCACAGGACGCGGAGGGACGATTGATAATGCCGTAGGTAAACAAACTCGGCAGCAGGGCCCGGCCGTGCAAACAAACAGATCACATGCGAGGCAGACGTTTTGTTTGTAAGTCAAGTGATGCATTAACCGAGAGAGTCACGCCACACACTCTTCGTGTGTATAATATATCTGATTACCGCCGCCGCCTCCTCCTGTTCGGTGAGATCGTATTAAATCAATTAGAACCGACCCGACTGTCCTCTCCGGCTACCGATAATAATAATTATACTCTTCGCCGTAAACAACACTACCCGTTTTTTTTTTCTAAAGGATTATTATTACTTCATCCGGACTCTCAAGTTTGAATTAACAAACATAAAAAAAAAAATGCTAGACAAAATATAAACCAACGTCGCTCTTTGCGGTCGGTTTAGGTACGCGCGCGGTTCAAAAACGATTGTTATTCGACAACCATTCGACGATTTATTTCAATAATACGTTATGCGTTGCACGTGCAGTCAAACGGATTTTACTTTTGAAAGATAAAATATTTTTCACGCGACTGCTAACTTTAGTTGAACATAATAGTCAAAATACGAGACATTATCGTTCGATCGGAGAATATTTCACATGCTCGCTAGTCGACTCAAAACAACTCGTGAGCAATTAATATTTCACGGTTAAACTGCTAAACGGTTATACTAATGCTAATTGCTATTAAAATTGCAATTGTCTTAAGACTTTTTAATAGGTTAAGTTCTAAAATAGTCAGCTAAACAAAGCTATTTGTTTTAAAACGGTGTTCTATTTTGTAGATGTTAAACTTTATTTATACCGAGCTCATACTGTACTTCTATAGATAATGTTTATCTACGTTGTTTACAGTAAATCACACCTCATTGATACTTCCATAAATCAAAAGTGGCCCACCCCACGCGTCATATATGTGAATTAGATAAAACGAGCAGTAATATAAGTCAATAGTATAAAACAACTGAAAGATCATAACAGCGCTGCCCGTTCGTCGAATAGGGCCGAGCATTTTAATCAAACCCAAGTGACTCGACTCGCCGTGTGTCTACCAGCCATATTGTATTATTACGTGCTGTATGTGCAACCTACACCTTCGGCAATAATCATTCACGCCTGTCCCTGAAGTCGACCGATAATGACGCTAAAACGTTTTCACCCCATTGTTCGTACGCGTTCACATAATACTATAATATAAAGCACATAATACCTATGTAAGTCGACAAACAATTACTATATATTATACTACACTGGGGGGGGGGGGCAGATTCTCGATGTATGGGTGAACAATACGCGTACCTGGCTATTAGTAGGCAAATCTAAGTAATCTGTAAATTATAACATGAAAACCCGTCCATTAGCCGCGTTATAGATAGTATACAGACGGGAGTGTGCTATACGCGTGTCAAGGTAAAAACCGATTCTTGTACAAGTGGTGCAAGTGTCACGTCATCGTGTACGCCACCGACCAAAAAACCTTTTAACACTATTAGCCGACACCGTGTATTACCCGTAAACCTTTGTGGATATTACCGGTGGCACCGACTTGTACGGGCTTTGCCAATCACACAAATTATTTTACAGACACAGCGGCCGTCGCAGTAGCTGATATACACTAGTATACCTGTATATATTTATACGTATCAAATACAGGTATGCCGTTTACAGCAGTCACTTTCGAAACCATTTAATACTCACCCTAATGGTACGCGCCACGAGAGTGCAAAAGGACTATTTAAACCGTGTTATACTAGCCATTCGCGGCGCACCACTCTCCGTGGCATAAGCTCTTTTTTATAGATTGAGAAAAACAATCTGTCTAGATTAATCTAATATACACTTAAAAAGCTAGCAACGCCGGATAAAACCTACTTACCGGATGGATTGCACCGTAGTATTGGTCTATGTGCAATATCAATACCATTATGTTATAATGATATTATATACTATTATAATTTATAACGGTTCAGGAGTTATTTTTAAACTTATTATCCACAACAAACCTCAACTTCAAAAAGTACCTTAAATTAGAAAAATCATAGGCAAATTTATCATTTTCCTCAATCGTTGTATATAATTACATTTATAATAGTTCTTAAATGAAAACCACGTAGGGAAGAGTGAGGCACAAAACCCTCATAGTCCATATTAAACATTTATCTCAATATTCATTTTTCAGACATTTGCAATTTCCATTCACTCTGGATGACATATTTCTGTCACACGACACCACTGTTGCCATTTTCCATCTTATTCCACTACACTTACTCTATCATTCTATTGCATAACTCATCCTAATTACTTAAATTTCTCTGCGCTATTTACCATTTTCTCTCCGAGCATAACCAGTACTCTATCTCTAAATCTGTTTAATTAATGATGTTGTAATCATAATAACTATTAATTAAATAAATATACTATTCGGTTTTTTTAATCAATGATTATACTAGCTTAATCGACGTTGTGAAATTATAATATTTTGCTTGTATTACAGATGATTCTAAGTACCAAGATACTGAGTACCGGAGGAGAATCGAACTGTTGAGCAGTGGCGACTTTGTGTTCAACCGTGCGGATGATCACCAGAACGCTCTGTCTAGGTTTTTGCGCAAGCACAACGGTGAAAGGCCTTTACAGATTCAACAGCGTAAGAAACGTTCAAGGGCGGCTTTCTCGCATTCTCAGGTAGGTTCTTATTGGTGAACAGACATAGTACTTGTTACGTTATCTATGGTATTTTCTGCTTAATTCCTATAACAAGTCGATCAATATAATTATATTACTAAATTATCTCTCGAACAATTCTGGAAAATTGATTTATAAATAGTGGCGGCGCCAGAATTTTAGCATTAGGTGGGCCAGGCAACCTCTTTTAGGAGGGACCAAAGTTTAAACTCGATATGAACCCGTGGTAGCTGCTACCCCTCAAACAAAAATCACATACTAAATTTATTTAAATTTTAGGGTGGGTCATAGGAGGGGTGGGGGTGAGACTTTTTAGGGTGAGCCTAGGCCCGCCCCTGATGACGTCACTGTTTATAAACATACTTATAACTGAATTATATAAACTTTGAACATTGACTTTGACTTTGAAAATACCACAATTTTTAACTAGTATAGGCAACACTTAGTATTATTTGTTATATTTAGTTGTCATTTAAAACATCAAATTTTTTGTACATTTTGTTGTTATATACATATTATAAATAACATTGCAGGTGTTCGAATTGGAACGTCGGTTTAACCAACAGCGATACCTCTCCGGGCCAGAACGCGCGGATCTGGCCCACTCATTAAAGCTGACCGAGACGCAAGTGAAGATATGGTTCCAAAACCGTCGGTATAAGACCAAGCGTAAGCAGTTGCAGGCACCCGTTGACCGGTCGCCCACCAGTTCACCGCCCAAGAGGGTGGCCGTCAAGGTGTTGGTCCGAGACAACCGCGGCGCCCCGCCGGCGTCGAAAAACAGAGACCACAGCAAACCGGCCGCTTATAATTCCAAGCCAATGGCGACCGCGGCCACGTTGATAGCACCAAGCGCGACTGACTACTACAACGGCGGGCGCGATAACCCGCCGCATGGATACCACGCGGCCGCTGCCGCTTTTATACCGGGATTGCACGTGCATCTGCCGGCCGCGCCTTACTACGGATGTTACCAGTATCGGCCGGTCATGGCGGCCGCAGCGTACCTCAGGGAAGTTCCCGGTGTTCGAGTGTCGTCCACCACGACGGACGAACAGGAATCCTCGGACGACAGCGAGAGTACAATTAACGTTATCGACGAATGTCCGACGTCCACAACGGCATCGGAATAAACGCAATATCACGCCCTATTATAATTTATTATAGCTAATTGTTGATTGATTGCGCGCAATTATTACTGCTACAGCGACGTTGTTGTTTTTTTTATTTTGTCACTGGTTTATTTTTATGATCCAAATAATAATATGTAACACATTTTTCCGGACATTTTGATAGGTATCGCGACGTTTGTTTATGGCAGTTTTACGGTCGAGCCCTCTCGTTTTTATTTTTATTATTATTACACCCGTTTATTTAATTTTAACGACTCGGCTCACAGCGACCAAACGAAAATGACATTTTACTATTTTGCGAATAAACCATTTGACATATTTTGTAAATTAAATACACCGATTTATAGAATGGTCTATTAGTCTATTATAAACTTAGGGTAGACTAATAATCAAATTTCGGTTTTATTACAATTCGCTGTTTTCCAACTATCACCACATAATATAATAATAAATAAATAGGTTCAAGAAGTAAAATATTGCAATGATGATTGGATTTTCTCATTTATTGGTGTAACATCATAACACCGGCTACAAATTCAATGATATATTTGACTTTTTAGTACAGGTCACTTAAGTTTCAAGGTGCGATACAAATTTGTTTAATGTCGATGTCTAATTTGCGTTTTTACTAAATAGTCAATGCGTCATAATTTAATTGTATAACAGATATAAACGCGCTTTTTTTATTTATCATCGTTTTGTAATTTCCTAATATGAATTCAGACCAATCCCAAATAAAAAAATTTTCAATACCTATTATAAGAAGATATTTGCAAGATAATACCGTTGACTTCCATATACTCAATGATACTTATACACTGAACTTGGAGCTTAGGTATGTGAGTTTTTGGTTATTACACAAATTCCAGTAGTTTTTGAGTAGATAAAGTTTGTAGTGTAAGTTTTGTGCACTTTTAATTTATGCAACTTCGTTATTTAACAAAAAAACTAAAAATTAAAAATAAATCATAGTTTAGACGATTTTATAAAAAATCTAACAACTGTGTTATATCAATGATAATAATAAATAAAATATTAAATATTAGGAACGGTTATCTTGTAACTATGTATTTTATTTATTTAGTAAGGTATATTTATTATATAATATTAAGTTCAATATACAAATATAGTATAATCATTTTAGTTACAAAGTTCACTTTGTGTGCAATGTAGCTGCTACATTTAAATATTTGAATGTAATTTTTTTATTACCTACTTACTACGAGTAAAATAAAATAATATCTAATACGCAATATTTAAAAAAAAATTGTCTAGCAAAGCCAGTGCAAGGCAATATTGAGGATCTCAATATTATGTTTTGTAAAACGTTAGGTATATTATAATATAATCGTTATCACGTACTAGTGTCTAGTATGTTTAATATGTACCTTATTATTATAAATTAATTTTAGTTTTTATTGTATCTTAGCTTACATTATTATGTTATCAGTTATGTGTATATAAGTATGTCATTGGATTAAAATGTATTGTTTATATTTTAACAGTTACTTTATTTTAATTATTTTTTTGATACTGAAAGTACATTTTTTTATAATTGTTATTTTAATGTATACATAAAGTCAAACACTACAATATATTACCATTATTTATAACTTATTAATATCATTAAAACTGAAATAGTTAGAATGGATTTGTTTAGTGTTTAGCATTTATATAGGTATTGTGTCTCTTGTGTCAGAGAAAAAAAAAAAAAAACTAAAAATTTATTTCGCTGGGAATATCATATCTAATTTATAACTATTAACTTTAGATACCTAACCGCCTCAGACCAGAACTTACAGTGTTTTTATAAACAGATATATGCTTAACATTGCTTTAAAAATATTTTAATTTACTTTTTGCTATAAATGTTTTACAACACTTAGTATACTTAAATAAAAATGTGTATTATTAAGTATTAAGCTTAGATTCTTATAATAAAATGTTATATGTTACACGGCGACGTTATATATGTTTAAATTCAATAGCCACTAGTGACTTGTAAGTTATCAACAACTATATATAGCTACAAGAAAATGAATAGCAATCTAATTGTTAAAATATTTAATGAAAACACAATTATTTATACCGTTTTTTTTCTAAATAATAGGTAGGGATACCTATAGTATCTTTGTATTAATCAGTTTCTTATTTGTTGTAAATAAATAATACCCACATTAAAAATATGTGTTATGACATTTGTTGTTTTTTTATCAATTTAAGTTTAAAGATTATGATTTTTTTACTACTGTTTATACTATCTAGGTCCTAGGTACAAGCTTTACGCGACATTTAACTTCATGGGGGTTTAACCTCCCCTGTAAATACAACTAGGCAAAGACACATTTTGGATTTGGTCATGAAAAATCTATACAAATATATGAAATCTATATTAACTATCAGTACCCCTTCGAAGTCCGGTGTATCATTTGTATAAAAACGTAGTCTTTTTTTTTTATGACAAAAAAAACCATTAGGTCCATAGTTTGGTGGGGGTCTGAAGTACTCCAATAAAATAGGGCGATGATCTAGTAACAAAATGATTGAATTTACCATTACACGCTTTCGTAGAAAATAAGAGTAGGTATGTGTATCCTTTGTTTGATAAAAAAAAACTAGATCAATTATGCAAAATTTTGGGGCGAGGTTTGTAGTCGGCAGTCAAGTACGGAGTATACATTTACTGGTTTATCGTATGACATTACATTATACTTAGTAGAGTGATTTCACAATTAGAGTTACACAATTATTGGGTTTGACACGTTAAACGTATGTTCTCACCTTATGGTGAAGTTGGTACTGACTACCATCGCACCTCTGACCACTGTGTAGCCGTCTAATGGTATATATACTAAGCAAACCGTGAACTTTGAATACATGCGAGCTGTGACCACAAGGATTCTGTTATTAGCATTTGAAAGCGATTGTTAGCTAGGTAGCGCCACGAGTACAAGTAGCATCATTTACATATAACACCAGAGTACTAGCAAGCATAGAAATATTTTAAATATTATAGAAAACACACACTTAAAACACATTGATGTTCGAATGGCTGTTTAGATAATATTGTGATGTAGGCTATAGAGAATTTTTCAAACTGTTAAAATTCCAATCTCGTGTAAATATTATAAGGTAATTTCACTTAAAGGAAATTCTTAATATGTAATTTTAGATTATAATATATGTACAATAATATTGAAGCTACTCTACAAAACAAAATAATAATTATTAGGAAAATATTATCTGATGTTTGTGTGCATCACCTTGGGTATAAAAAGACCAATATCGATTTCTTATCAAAATACCACAAAATATTTAAATTAAACCACCATTGAGTGAATAATACTAATAAAGATTGTGTTTAAACAATAGCACTAATACTGTCGTTAATACTAACATTGTTTTGTCATTTCAGATAAAGAACTAATACAAAATTTGTTTTAAGCTTAAAAACCATTTATTTTTCGTTTTTCTACTGAATTGTATTACAACGAAACATATAATATACATTATTGTTTATTTTTTCATGATTGGTAAGTTTGATACCAAATATTGTTTAAGTAATATGAATATCACATAAAAAACAAAGAACTTCAATATCCAATAAACTACATGTGTAATCTTAATATTGTAAAGCGAGAAATAAAATTAATATAAATTATTAATATATAATGGCTCAGCTGTTTTGATAGTGTATTGCGTTGTAGAGAAACAGAGTAATAATTCAAGAAATATTTAGAATTTCTCACCAATAGAACATAAAGAATCTAGAAAAACATCTTCAAAATAAGAGTTTGTAGTTCCTACTGGACGAAAACATGTATAATACAATTTTTTTTATAAGAGTTTTAAGACATGATCAAATATTTTACCTTAAAAACTAACACACTACTAACAATCAAAACAGTGAACATGATAAAGATGAACACCATCACATTTAACATAAATAATAATACAATAAATCATGTATGTGTGATAACACAATCAAATCTCTGTTAATTAACCTTTTTTTCACAGTCAAAAACAGAGTATTTCAATGTTATCAATAAGTTTACATTATGTTTTAATGTTTACTTCAAATAACAATGATATACTTTTTAAAATTTATAAGTGTCAAACGGAATGTATTCATCTATATATTCATAATTATTGTTTTTATTTTTTAAATGTAAATATAAAATGATACTAACTACATTTGAATAATATGAAAAAATAAATAATAATATATCAGATTGAAACAATGAATTATTCCTGCAGCTATCAAACTTATTTTGCTTTCCGTTTGTCCTCTGAATCCTGAGCACGACTGGTACGCCACGAATTACCCTGTAAATGATCAAAAAGACTATTAGAATCAAAGCAATACCAATCCTGCCTGGAAATGTAAGACAAATAACAAACCTGATCAGTAGTAGATGAGGGTATTTCACGTTTTCTAGCTGGATCTCTCTCGAAAGCTGACCTACCTCCTTCCCTAGCTCCGTCTTTAAATGTTTTATCAAATGCGCCACCAGTGGAGCTACCACCACCGCCTCGGCTCCAGCTACTACGTTCACTGTCTCTTGCCCCAAAGGCACCACCACCTCCTCCTCCTCCTCCTTTCCGTTCATCATTGGCTCTGCTAAATACAGGACGACGCTCAGGCGGTGGCCCATCATCTCTGGTACGACTAAAACCTTCTCCTCTCCTTTCTTTATCTCTCGCTCCAAAGAACTTCGTATCTTCTTTGGGCTTATCGGCACCTCTCCACGAAGAGGTTGCAGTAGACGAAAGACTTTTATTCTTCTCTTCCAGTTTTCGTTGTACTTCTTCTTCCTTTTTGCGTTGTATTTCAGCTTGTCTCTCCAGTTGTTCTTGACGAGCTCTAAAAATAAATATTCATTATTTTTTGTAACCTATTTTTATTTTTTTTGATCATTAACATCCTTTGTCCCACTAAAAAACACTATGGTTAGGATAAATTGTCATATGGTTAACTGTGGCATACTACACATACTACCATGCCGCCTCTTTGTTAACAAATCTCAGTCCATTTCTCAAAACTAGAGATGCAACTTCAGCACGACAATAGGACAATTTATGGTAAAGCTAATCAGACAATCAGTGATTAAATAAACTATTCAATTAATGTATCATCTAAGTAGTTTCACTGAAAATTATCCACATCGCAGTTGAGTCGCTAATCAGTCGTAAAACGGACTGTAGTATACAACCGACATTGTTTCAAAATTAAATAAATTATCCTTACAATTTAGCCAAACGTTCTTCTTCTTCTTTTTTCTTAGACTCCTCTTCTTTTCTTTTGCGTTCTTCTTCTTCCTTGCGCAATCGTTCTTCTTCTTCTTTTCGTCTTTTTTCTTCTTCACGTTGTTTAATTAATGCTGCTTTTCTTTCCTCCTTCCTCTTCTTCAGTCGGTCTTTACGTATCACAACCAATTCTTCTTCAAATACTTCTATTTTAGTCTAAAAAAAATTATTATAAAAACAATACAGATAATTTTCAAAAAATGTAATTACAACAATTAAATTTGTACTTGGAATTCTGCTGTACGGCGAGCTTTTAGTTCGCCTAAGAATATGTCCATGTCAGGTTTCATTCTAGCCAATCTTTCACGGTTTTGCTCAGCTAGTTTACGTTCTTGAATAGCCAACTGAATACGTTCAGCTTCTTGATGCTCCCAAAACTTTTTATCATGAACTTGCTTCTCTTTCCAAGCCTGTTCCAACAGAGAAATTTCTTCAATTCTCTTGGCCCTTTCAAAATAATCCATTTGTTTCCTGCGGTTTTTCAGTTTTTGAACTAATTCTGCACGTTCTTTAGCTAATTCTTCGGCTTCTTTAACAGCAATTTCATCAGCATCCATATTTTTAAGGGCCTATTAGACAAATGACCATCATAAGTAACAAAAAGTAAAAAAAAAAACATAATATTCTACGTATAACGAGAAGCGAAATTAGTATTATATCATTAAATTTGTCAATTTTAAAGTTTTTGACATTGATAAATATGTTATTTTTTTACATACATCTTCATTCAACTTCTTTAACACTTTTTGGCCATGAGCAGTTTGCGAAATCTGCTGCATCTTTTCTTTGAAATTACGATCCTTAATTGCTTGCATTTCAGCTTCTTGACGTCTTTTTTCTCTCTCTTCACGCTCAGCTTCCAATCGCCTCATTTCAGCCAAAGCTGCTGCACGTGCAATTTCTTCGGCACGTCGAGCTTCTTCTTCTTCCTATACAATCAGGTAATTAAAACATAACAATTACAAATACAATTTTTTTAATATAAAAAAAGTATTATTTTTTCAGTATTTTCTGAGTATTATAAATTATACACTCCTCACCCTAACTGTGTTTAAGCGCTCCAAGTATTCTTTACGATCTTCAATTATCTTGTGGCGAGCTAAGATTCTTTGATGTTCTTTATCTTTGGTTTCATGATGATATCTAATAAGGGCTTGATGTACTTTTTGATGCTCTTCCTAAACATAATATATAATTTATAAAACTATTCATTAACCAAAAATAAAAATTAATATTTGCATTTAATAATTTTCTTAAAATTAATAAACAATAACTATACTTGAAGTGTAATTTTAATATCTATATCAATTACCTTATGTTTTAATAAGTGTCATTTATAAAAGACAAATTTGTATTATGAATTTTAATTTGTTATTTTAAAATTTGATTGATCATATTACATTATTTTTAGCTTTGATGCCTAGAGGATAAATGTTTTTTTGATGATGTATTTAATTTTTTTTTTGTCTCAGAATACTAAATAATAGATCATATGAGATATCATTTATCCGCAACAGTTAGAACTTCATCATGTAAAGTAAATGTTTTTCAAATGTTAATTTTTTTCATTTTAATGTTTAATCAGAATTTTAATAACTAGAATCACAAATATCATACCGATATCCGCAAAGATAAATTCATCATTAGGGTCTTAGACAATAGTAATATTGTTGCAATCGTAAAACCCAATTTTCAGAAATAATCAAATTCAAATCACAGAATATTATCATCTATCCGCAACAGAATATTATATTCATCATAAAATTATCTTAGTAGAAATCTTAAATAAATATTTTCTTATATTAATTATATTAACAAATACCTAAAAAACAACTATCGTCTCAGAAATATAATTGATGAAATCATAAAGGACATCATTTATCCGCAACAGTTATAGCATCATCATAAATCATGTTTTTCAAGTAATTTTCTTATTTTATAATCAGAATTTTGTTAATAGAATCACAAATATCATACCGATATCCGCAAAAATAAGTTCATCACAACCCAATAACTTTTTAATACTTTTTCTTTAAAAGTTAATGAAGAACATAAAATAATCATTATACTCTGTTTTGTTTCATTGGTCATGAATAAAAAAAAACATTTACAAAAGTTATGTTCTTCAAGTCTTTAGACACTATGATATATTTAAAAAAAATTAAAAATTAAACTATTGTCTCAGAATACTAAATAATAGATCATATGGAAATCATTTATCCGCAACAGTTATTGTTAGCTTCATCATTTGTAAATAATAAAAAATAATACTTAAATACACCTACTTAGTTAGGTTTTATAATATGTTTAGGCTATCAGAATAAAATACTTAAAATCATTGATATCATACCGATATCCGCAAAGATTAAAATTCATCATATCCATAATACCTTATCTTTTAATAAATACATGATAGTTTTTAATAGTTATGAAAATGTTCTAAATGTACAGTTTTCATAAAAATTAAAAACAATAAAACCTCTTGAGCGTTATGCTTACCTTATTAGCTTCAGGGTTTATAATATTAGCAGATTTCGACAATACTTTGAAAACATTTATAAGGTATGTGCGTATTTGTTCACTGGGCATAGATTGTAGAGTTGGTCCTTCAGGTTTGTCTTCACGTTGTGATTCAGATAGATCCATTCCAAATTGAATACATCCTTTGCCGTGGTCAATACGAATCTGAAAATAAATTAATAGTTAATAATAAATTAATAACTAACTTAATAATAACAAAACATAGTCTATTAACCGCATAATTAAAATTACTTAAGTATTTAGCACGGAATAATCTTATACCTGCATATCATTATGGCGGACTAAGTCAACTAAAATACGTTCCATATGGAACGGCTTGCAATAAGATGCTAATTCCAAAAGTCGTTTATACTCTATTGTTTCATAAATTTGAGAAAGTTGTCTAATAAGACGAGCTAAAGTAACTTCGCGCACAGGAGCGACATATCCTTCTAAATCACTGCCACTACCAATTAATGGTTCTGTAACAGCTTCGACTCGTTTACATAGCTCCAAAGGTTGAAATTCAACTTCAAGCCAAATATACAAATTTCTTAAGTCTTCAGAAGCTAAAGCAACAACATTATGGCGAACCTGCAAACAAAAATTAATATTATTCACAAAAATAAAAAATAACATATACTTTATAACAATTTCTTCAAATGTATAATATAAAATCAGAAAGAATACAAAAATTACTTTTATAGTAAAAAATAATAATAAACTTAATGACAAAAATTTAGTATTTTTTAGAGATTTTTAAGAAAGTTACTTCCTTAGTAAATGGAGTTAAACGGAAATTAAAAAAATAACACCAAAAATATAGTAATTTTATTTTGAAGATGAAAAGGATTAGTCTACTAGTTTTGAAATAAAATATAAATGATATCTTACAACTTCTTTCAAAAGAGAAATTCTTGTGGGTGGAGCAGGTAGACTTAATAAAACTGCTAGTTTTTGAGCTTTTTCATAAGGACTCTTATCAGTTTCAATAAAACGATCAAATTCTGGGTGAGCAGATGGCAAGGGCACAGCCAATGTTGCTAACAAGACTCTAGATGCCATCCTAAAAATTAATAAAGTTTAGTTAAATAAGTTATTTCAACCAAAAATGATTATATACAAAATAAAAATTGAGCATAAATATAGTGACATGGAACACTAACCTTTGAAGTTCTTCTTGCGTTATATTTTTTTTCATTTCTTTACTTAGTTGGAAGAGTTTTAATAAAGCAGCAGCGTGAAATAGATTATAGCCTGCTTTCCAAAACACCATGGCTAATTTTTGATAGTAATTGGCCATTGTTTTAGGTACAGGTGATTTTTTAGCTAAGGTCATTAAATTATGTATATCTTCAGTTGCTTTGTACGCTTCCTGTAATTTAATATTAAAAATGGTTTTATTAATCGTACTTGTAACATGTTTCTATAGACTAAAGGAAGTTTTGCATCAATATACCCACAATTACTAATACAAAACTGCCAATATAAAAGTACAGTAATTGATTACAAAATAATTACCTGCCACAGTTCCATTTGAATAGCATAATCTAATTGACATAATCTAGTTTCTAGATTGTATTGTTGCGTTTCTGGATTAGAAAGACTGACATTGACAGTTTGTGCTGGAAGCTTGGCAATATCTTCAAGGTGTTTGCGTAATTTATCACAAAGCTTCCTGAATTCAGTTTTACGGTTGTACTTTAAACAAAACTGGTATGCCTATAAAAACATAGAAACAAACTTATAAGCAATTCAGAATAATTTGTATATTATGAGGCTTATGTACCATTTTAGCAATGTCATGATAAAGAGTCTCGACATGTGCATTAGTCCTTAATAGTTCTAAACATTGGCAATACGATTCCCATAAGAACTTTACCCATGGTGTCAATATTGTTCTATCGCTACGATCCTGTGCATCTTCTCCACTTACAGCACTATTACAATTTAAAAATACACAATTAAGATTTTAAAATCAAATAAAAACAAGATATCATATTATTTATATATATATATATTATGAGACATGAGATTACCTTAACAATATACTCTCTGGAGTAGCCAAATTGTCTAAATCGTCAATATCTACCACAGCTTGTTGTGATTGCTCTCTGGCTGCTTCAGTACGTTCCTCGGCACTCCTTAGATAGCCGCGAATAACATTTTCAAGTGATCCAACATTTACCTAGTGCATTATACATTGCAAATATCATAAACACAACTCTATTAAATAAATTAGTGTATACTTACAGACTGAAACATATTTCTGTATTGAAACAACCCCTCCTTGGCGATATGCGACTTCTTTAGGTCGACACATAAGTCCAAATACTTGAACATAATAGGTTCCAGAACGCTTTCGCTCCAGTTGTAGGCCCATTTTTTGTTCCTGAATACCTCGTACAAGGTATCAAGTGCCCGGCCGGGACGGCCGACCTCCAGGAATTCTGCGTACAACAAAATTTGGCAATTTAAATTTAACCCAAACGAACGGCTGCCGGGCAGTTGCGGTTATTAACAGTTCAGAATATAGAAAGTACTCACCATTGGCGCGTTTTAACGCATTCTCGGGTCGTTGGCTGTACCTAGACATGATTGCACATCAACAAGCACACCGGACCTGAAAAGTAATTTCGCCCAAAGACTTGGCGATGAGACGAGAAAAAAACGTGGCGTGAATCGCGTGATCGAAGACCGCTTATAGTGCCTACATAACAAGTAGGCAGTAGCGGACGAAATCAGTGGTTACCAAGCTGGTGTTATACAAATCCCGTGATTGCGACCACAGTGCCGCCAACTGTTATAAAATAATAGAAACGCTTTTTCGCGGGAACGACTACAGACCTTACAACCAAATACTATAGATTATAGTATTTGTTACAACCACGGTTATAGATAAATTATCTATAACCGTGCTTACAACGTATAAATTGATTACAATAATTATTGTGTAGATAAAACTGATGTGATAAGCTGAAATGGACAAACAGCGCTATCTTTTCTTTAAACATTTTTAATTTTTAATATAAGAGTTGGTATTTTATTTTTATTACGCGTGAGCAAATTAATTACGAGGCAACACTATTGAATGAATTTTTATATAATATGGCAATTAATTTTAGCTTCGATACGGAGCTGAGACTATGTCTTTATGTAACTAGAAAGTTGTATCAGAAATCATACCTAAAGAGTACTTAAATTGACTTAACATTTTAAAAGTGCACCCCTTCCCCTTCAAAATCGTGAAAAACATCCAAAAACTTGACATATCATTGAACTTGAAATCACGGCGCTCTATAAATTAAAAAAAAAATCTAATTAGTTCCAGATTTATATGGAATATTCTTGAGCATAATAATACTAACAAACGTTGTCAAACCAATAATATAATATCATAAACCCTTTCTCCTAGGAGTGGAAACGTTTTCTTTACTTCACATTTTACGTGAAATTTTACTTTTTAGGATTTTGACGTTAGATTAAATCTAGATTTAAAATAGGGCTATTTCTTATATCTTAAGTTCGATTTCTCTCAAAAGAAGAAGGCATTCAAATTTTGTCTATTTTTGAAATAATGATCTTATAAAAAAATATTTCAATAATACAAATCATGTAACTAAATTAATATGCATTCTACAGATATGGGAATCATATACTTGTGATGACAACATCAAAGAGTGACTTTTTTTAAATTCCCGACAGTGGACATTTAAATGGTACACAACTCATCCGCAACAAAGATGATTAAAGTTAAGACGTATTAAAACACAATTACGTTGGTGTATATCTTATACACCAAGGTATTTAAAAATAAAACGTCAGACATATAAAATTATTTAATATAATAGTTAAAATACACAAGTATTGAGAAAATGTAAATTAATACATGGGTGTGAAAGGGCGGTAAAGCATTCCACGGGTTTGTTAAAAAAAATAATACGTTTGAAAGACTTATTTTAGATTTTGCGTTTCTCTACTTCGTTTTCGAGTAATTACTGTTTGAAGGCACTTACACATATTTCAAAAAGAGTTTTTTTTATATACGGCATAGTTGAGTAAAACAGAAATAAAAAAGGGAAATTCGTCACACTTCGATTTGTTTGCAGTTTGAATTCTTTATTGTAGTTTTATGTACATAATAACTCTAAAATAGAGCATACATTTTTCTACATATATAATATTTTATCGACTGTAAATATAAACAAAAGTAGTCATAAAATGCATTTACACTATTACAATTCAACATAAATATTTCACTTTACATATAAGATTATAAGTACATAATTGTTTTCATAGTTTATAAAAAAAAACGAAGAGTAAACTATAAATCTATATATAGTAATGAAAAAACGCAATTTGTCTCTAAGAATATTGCTTATACCTACATAACTATTAAATTATGTTTATGATTTTAATATAAAATATTGAGTTACCCAAAAGTCATACGATATGAGTAATATTTAGTGGAAAACATAATTAATATTAGTCATGTCACACATTTATTACGTTTTCCATTTGTTTATTTTCTTTTTCTAACGATTTTTGTGCTGCCAAATACAAGTTGTGGTTACTCTTTTCGTTGTTCGTTTTCAGTTTCTCTTGCATCTGAATGAGTACATCTTGCATTCGGCGTATCTAGGAAAAATAAAAATAGTATGATTGATTTGTAAAAAATAATTATAAGGATGCAATTATTTAATATTATTGAACATATTGAGTCTATTTTTCTGTTTAAGGGGACATCACGCCACCAATTCCTATAGGTGTGAAGTATAGGCAATTTTTCGAAAATTTTAATTTAGAGCTTGAACTACATAGTGTATACTTATTACTACAGTAATAACAGTACTTTATTGTCATTTATTAATGTCAGATTATCGCAGTAATTTTTATAGGATAAATTACAATTTTTTTCTCATCTAAACTACTTCTTTACGAGGGACAAACTTATTCAATATTCACAGTAAAATACCACATTTTCACAATACATAGAAGACAATTTTATCAGTGTCGTAGCGTTTTATTTTTTTTTAATAATAATACCATTGAGTATAATTAATGGTAATACTCACTAACTTTTAATAAATAAATGAAAAAAAAACATAATTTTTGTGATTGAATAACTTGGATTGTGTTTTAAGTTATCAAAAAAACCTTTTTTGTTCTTTGTGATTTGGGTACTGTAAACCTTTTGTAATTATTTTTCTACGAGTACAAGATAAAAACCCTTGTCCCGCACAACGAGTTTCCGGTCATAATACGGATGATGTGGCGTCTTCTTAATGTAAACAATACTAATGTTAGAGTTATTTACTTAAAGTGTTTCCCAATTCTTTCACGTACCGGAATGGTACTTTATCGGAACAAAAAGTTAAAAAGTTCACCCCTTCTTACGGTGCGCTAAATTTTTTTTAAAAAATTGTCGAATTTGTTTTAAATTTGTATGGAATATTTTTTGTATAAAGTACTATAGTTAACTATAATCTTCTTCAAAAAACCAATTGTTATTTATAATATTACATTTAGAAACTAGATAGGTACTACTTACTTCTTCCTCTTTTTGAATCAATAAGATGTCGGTTTCGTCGAGCGCAGCTGGTAGTTTTGGAACGGAATCTCTTTTAAGTTTCCTAAGCAAGGACCACAGTGAATAGCATTTTACATTCAATAATTGAATTGCTATCAGTAATTAATTATAAATACCCTCTGTCCTTAAACGCCTGTTGCGATATTTTTGATATCAACTGTGTTCGGAAATTTTCGTAATGAACGTCTTCAGTGACTTCTTTCAAGTCATGCATATGTGTAGATATCAGCATATTTCGAAGTTTTCCGAAATCGCTGTGAGATGGGTTATCCACTGAAAAACATTATTTATGTATTATATTGTACATATGTTTAGAACGAAATACCGAATCGGTAGTCGTTATATGTTTAGGTTTGACTAACAGTACTATAGTATTGACTATATATCATAATATTTATACAATGAACTATACATATTTCCTATTATTTTTTACCTTCGACTAAGCCCCAGTCATATTGCCTGCCTCGCATTTTTTTTCCATTCACTTCCAAAATAGTATTGCTCCCAACTACGGCAAAAGGTAAACACGCTTTGAGTTCTTTATCCTGTTGTTTAAAATCTTCGTCTTCGTCACTTTCGCAGTCTGGTAACTGATATACCTAAGAATTTAAACATTTGTACCGGAATTGTATACATTATAAATTATTGAAAAACTATAAAAAGACGTAGTAAATACAAAACTCTTTGAATTAAAGTCAGTTAAACTAATTATTGCATATAAAAAAATATTACAAACGACCGCCGTGAAAAAAGTATTATTAAATAAAATATGCATTATACTTAATTAAATAAATCATTATTAAAGAAAGTAATGTTTACTAACTTTTATTCCGTGTTCCTTAATCGAATCGTTCATTCTTTGCTTTACCCGAGTCTTCTCTTTTTCTGTCAACATGTCTGCTTTTCCTATGACGGGTATAACGTTGACTTTTTCGTGAATACTTAGCATGAATTCTACGTCTAGAGGCCGAAGACTGTTAAAAAAAAAAAAATTACCACACCAAAAAATTAATACATTTTTGTGGAGTTTTTAGTATTTTAACGATACATCTTCCGATTGTACAGAGCTGAACTAGTCAAAAATTAAGAATGTTATGAGCTTACAAAAACCTTGAGCCTATAACAAGCCTATAGACATTTCGTGATCTGTTAATTTAAATTTTAAAAAAACTCCTTGTATGAAAAATAATTAAAATAAAGGAATCGAGAATTTACCCCTAGATTATAATATACAATTAATTGATAATAAAAAAAAAACAAAAAAGAGACGATTTGTCATAGTCTTTTTTATTTTATCCCTTGCAAGTGATTCATTTATCAGTCTCAATAGCAACCGAAAACAATATGGTGACTAACGACTATTAACTATGAAGTTTTCCGCAAAGTGTTCATCAAACATCCAGCTTCTAACACAGCACATGGATGTATCAGTAAAACCCAAAAAGTGAAAACAATACACATACAATTCATAACGCAGCATACATACCTGTGACAATGGGCAGGTATGAAATATAGACAACAGTGTACGCGGTTATCGACAATATTTTTTCTGACGACTCCACTTTCTTCTGAGAAATATGCCCGAAACTGTTCATCGATGTATTCGCAGCACGTCCGAATGCATTCTTCGCCATTTAGAGAAGAGCCGAATCCTGTATTGTGAACAATTTAAAATCAGTATAAGTATATTCATTTTCATCGAAAAATAGTTTACCCGGAGTGTCGACGACGGTCAATCTTAATTTAACGCCTTGTTCTTCGATACATAAAGTTTTTTTTTCAATTTTTGCAGTCTGAGGAGGCTCTGTAGACAATTAAAAAATTTTTTTAAATCTATTAAGAGTAATAATAATTATTGTATTCCGACATGAACGACTGAAATCGTTTCAATAATTATCATAGTTAACACTTTTAAACAATAAAAAAAAAACGAGTTTTCGCTATTCAACGAATACTTACCATAATCCGCCGTTTTTCTATCCTTGTAAAGATCGCTGAGAAATAACGTGTTTATCATAGTAGATTTTCCAAGACCTGATTCGCCTACTACCATTAAGGTAAATTCAAATCCTTTTTTTACCGTTTTCCTGTGCACGATGTCCGGCAAACTACCAAAACCAATATATTCTATAAAACGCGAAAATAAAAAAGCATTGTTAATATATTTTATACTATATTCTTGCTTATGGGTTTCATATAGTGCTGGGAAAGTTGACTTGAATACTGTTTATATGATTGTAAGTACAAAATTACATTAAAAATAAAACCAATAAACTTTAAATTAAGAATTCGTTTTATTTCTAGTTATTTCTTCCATCAAACATATTAAGGGTCGAACATATCCGGTTAATAATCTAAGTTTCAATCAGAGCTTTGAACCCGAATGATTTATTTTACTTAGAATTAATCGGGTTTTACAAATTATGGTTAGGGTTTATGGTTCTTTTTAGGTTTTAGTAAACCGAAATAATAAATTAGGGTATGTATGGGTTAGGGGGTTGTTTTCGAAATCGAGTGCCATATAAATATGTTTACTGGTATAATTATCAAATAAATTAAAAAAAATAATAAATTCTACTCAATTTTGGTTCTGGCATATTTTACTTTTGAATGTATCTACATAGTAATTTCTACATACGGAGTTATAAAAATATATTTCAGTTTCGGTTTTAAATATTTGTAAATTAAGGTTCTGGTTAGTACCGGGTTAGGCATGTACATTTTGATCAAAAAATGTATTGAATTAAAATAAAAATTTTAACTATTAGTTAGGAAAAAATAAAATAAACATGTCGTGATTATGATTATTTAAGTTTTTTATCTCTTTATGCATTAGTTGATACCTATTGGTTATTAACTTTATAGACAGCGTGCATATGTATACTTGCGGATTTTTATTAACACTGTTTAGCTATGCGTCTGTCAAATATTAACTTTATCAATTTCTATTATGCGCCAAAAACCGTTCCACCATCACTACAAAATTAACTGATAATGGGATTTTAGGACAGTTTTAAACATGTTTAAATCAGGTTTTAAACATAAAACTAGTGATTAAACACACACACACACACATTTATATATATATATATATATATATATATATATATGTGTGTATATGTATATATGTTAGATATGTATTCCATTTATCTCCATGTGGAGAGTTGACTCATTGCGATTCGCACACAATTCATTTCATAATTTACCGTATAATAAACTCTAAATTGTCCAAAAAAAATCGCAAATGACATTATTTAACACTTGAGTCATAACTCATAATAAATTATGAATAAAGTATAAACAAAGATAACAAAACAGCATGAAAAATAATTGTAAAACAAATTCTATTTTTGCTTCTCTTTTACTATCATCAAATTACACATATAAACTACTAAGTTGATTCACATCAGATGAATTTAGATTTTTAGTCTATACCTAGTATTATTATTATTATTGTGACATGGTGTATATTCGTATAATATTATATATATATTAATATACGTTTATACTACATCTAAAAGAACCGAAAAAAATCGATTACAACTAGTGGTTTCAGTTCCAGTTTTTTAGGTACGGGTTCCAGTCTCTGGACTACATATATTAAAGTATTAACTGCGTAATTAAATTCTTATTCAAATTTTCTGTAAATAAAAAAATAAAAACTAGATTTTTTAGGTAACAATAATAATCAAACAAGGAATTTTTGATAATTGATAAGAGGATCACGTTATATTTACACATAGTTATCTGTTAAAGTGTTATTACGTAGAAATATGAGCTGCCCACATAAAATCAACTTAAACTGATATGTTACACAATTGTTTAGTACATATGCAATCAATATTAATAACCAAAATAATGACCCCTGGGCCTACACCGAAGTTTACCTATGACCTAGATTCTAGATCGTAGTCACCTTAAGGGTGATTGCATGCGGTCTGATGTTAAGGAGTTTTGTATGGACAATATTTAAGAAAAAAATGGTTTAATAAATTTCGACCATGTCAATTAATTTAACGGTTAAATTGAATACGCTTCTAGGTATAATTTTTTCTATGAGTAAAAGCCATTTAGGTTTATTTTAGACCAAAAAGCCAGAAAAAATGTCGACTACATAGGATGGTCCAATTTTAATTCTGTAAAGAGATTCTAGTTCTTTAGCGACTTTGCTATGTTAAATAGGAAGCCGATTTTCATTTAAAATTTTCAATTTCTAGTTATTAAATAACCTAAATTTGTCATTTTTTCTATATCGAACCCCAATTTATTTACATAAAAAAATTTCAAACCTGTTCCCTTCATAATCTAGTCTAGTAAAGAACTCGTATATCTTTACAAGATTGAAATCGGACCATCATTGATAAAATTTTGTCTGTCTTTTTGGTCTAAAACGTCAAAAAAACCGACTGCAATCCCCTTAAGCTTAAATTTTTAATTTATTTATTAACACGGGAAAGTGGGATATATTTTGATATTAATTTTTTTTCAACTTTTATAACATATACAGGCCATATTTTCTATAAAAAGGTAATATGTTATTACTTCGAATAGTTCCTAAAAATACTCCAATGATTTAAAAAAAAAATGTTGATTCTTTATAAATCATCCAAGGTACCAATTGTGGTACAGTTGTATAATGGTTTTTGTTTATTAATAATTTAAACAGACAACATGCCCCTTAAATCATTACATTTTTTACGTTTATATTTTTTTAAATGTAGCTAACAATTAAATATTATGTTGTTCTTTTTTAACATCGAATAATATAATATATTTTATAACTCAGAACTTTAGTACGAAAAATAATAAATATACATAGTCAAATTAAATATAAGTACTACCAACCTGACATTTTTCCGCTGTTAATTCAAGAGAGTCCAGTTCATATAATCCACATCATGTGATATTTTGCTATTAGGCCGGACGACTTTAAGGGAAGTGCATGAAAGCGCTTTGAAGTTTTATCTATAACAAAGCAAAGATAACAATTGAACATACACTATTTAAATTGTACATTTCAATACATATCGGTATCATCGAAACAAATTATTATATCTCGCTACGGATACGTGATGCTTGCTTTTACTGCCTACTGATACTTGATTGTAGTTTAATTTACCCGATTGCTGTGTGCTTACTACATTATGTAGTACGTCCGAGGGGCGTTAAAAACGGCGTACGGCGTTATTTCCTGTTGTGAGCTGTGACTAGTATTTCTAGAATTTCTAGTATTAATTACTTACGTAAAAGTTAAATTATATGATAATAGCCTGACTTCGGGTAATGTGTACTTACTATTTAAACGGAAATAACAAGTGTATCTCGAACGGTCGTGGAGGAGTATATAAAGGCGCAGTGTTCGGTGTTCCTAAACTATTTTCCAACGTCGACGGTAAAAGTTTTTCATTCGTCTACCGGTCTACAGATCGATTCGTACAATCCACATTACAAACCGCACTCGAGTTGCAAAAGAAAATATATTTTTTGTTTAGTTTTTTAGTGATTTATATTTTATTTCAAACCACTCTTATGCGCGTATACCGAACACACGAACGGCGCAAACGACCGCTGTGTTGTCACTGAAACTAACGCCAATCGATAATCCGGCGAGACGGTGCCGACCAGCAGGCCCGCGCCAAAAAATCCTAGGAGGGGTGGAGTTCAACTATAATGCTACACTATACTACTACTACTACTACTAATACTAATACTATGACGACGGCACGTGAATGAAATAGGCTATAGGGTGGCTGTCCTTTGTTATTGTTATAGTTTTAGTGCGCGTATGGATGATTTTTATTGCCGATTGGGGCGGGGGTACTACGCGTGATCGTCAGCACATATTATTTATTATTATTAAAGTACATATAATGGCATACTGCAGTCCGTATTGTACTTATACTCATTACAAATGACGTCACCGAGAGAGAAAAACATTAGCCTTAATATTTTATACACTATACTATTAGAAGGTGCTTGTGGTTTCAAACATCACACGCAGTTAAGACACACTCACTATTCGTTACATTTCCATTGGCTATATTATATTATTCGATTTATAAGTAAATACAATTGTAAAAGATAATATTTACCTTCTAAAATGCGCGATTTAGACTACGACGGAAATCTATTATATTGTGTATCAATATTAAGTAAACACCGCTTCTAGTATGTTGTTTAAGTCATTTAAGTAGAACAATACCGGAATGTAAACAATGTTGACAGAACAGTCAATAACGATATTTATACTAAGATTAAATGGTAATTACATCATTGACTAAATAATATTATCATAAAAATAACAATACCAGTATATTATTGTCAACTATATTGACACAGAAATAATAGAAAATAAATAATTTATCGTTTACAGTCAATACGAAATAATTAGTTTTGATATTAAAACCATTTAAGCTGTATGCATAAATAGTACATATTATTACACATTTAACACGAGAAATAAGGTTCTAGATAATTATGTACAAGTCATTTTTTGATTTTGAAAACCATTATTGTATATTATGTATCTTACTCTATTTTGAGAAGAGTTGGTGTGTTGACTATTGGTGTATATCAATTCATATACTGAAGTCTGAAGATAATCATTTCACCCAAAAATAATATCTGATTACCCATAAATACATTTTATATTTGGTAGGTATTAGTAATATTTCAGCATCAGCAACACAAAATTGTTTCCGTATTAATAGTCACTATTTAATTTGTTTACTATAAAGTAAATAGGTTTGTTAAGTTTAAAAAGTTCTCTCAAGTCTCATGTAAGTTCTTGACCTCGGAGAGTCAGTACGATTAAAAATTGCCTATGTAAAGTTTTAAAAAAAATAAAATGTTTAATATTACCGTTTCGTGTTTATTTATTTTATTGAGTGTTAACTTTTATAATTTAATTTTTATCTATTTCATGTTTTCTTCACACTCTTGATTCTATGACTACACAAAACCAAATAACCGTTATAAAACGTTTATCGTTCTAACGTTACCTACCTGCAACGAATCAGTTATGTGTAATGTGAGTAATACACCGATAGTGGCATAACATTGGTATTTTATTAATATTTAAACTGTGGAGGGAACATGCGTCAATAATTTATGATTGCAGATAGTTAGCTAGCATTTATTGCATATTTATCAACTGCTGTTTATCATAAAAGATTTTCGATATTTTATAATTAAATGTAGATACTAATTACTAATACGTTAATGGTATTTTATAATACAAAATTCGGCTGTAACATAAATTAAATAACACTAATGAAATTAAGCAATTGTAAATAATTGTTTAGTTAGTTTTTCTAGTACTTATAAGTTATTTTGATATAGTTGAAATAGGGTTTACAGAATTTCATAAAACAAATTTTATATTCTTGTTTATTCTATTATAACCTACGTGCACTTAGCACTACTGTTCATTCAATTTACTCTTCAGAATAAAATGTAGTATAATGAAAATTTACTGACATAAATTGTTGGTTTTAATTTTTAAAATCAATGTCTATGTACAAAATAAATACTTGGCTTACTGGTTAAAATAATTTTAACATACATGAACTATTCTTTAATTATTAAAATAGTCTATACTTCATTACACAATGTATTCTTGACGTTAAAAAATAATGTTCTTAATAGTAGACATGTTTTATATGGGTACCTTGTTTAAGAAATATTAATAATAAGATATCGAGATAATCCAAAGAACGTCGTTTTGCATAATTTTCTTTCTGCCCTGACGACATTGTGCGTAAAGGCAATTTAATTTTCCGCCGTTCAACATCTATTAATAATAATTAATTAAAAAAAATTGTTGTAGCTTAGTTTATTGATTAAAAAAATATGTGCATAAGTGCTTTTTGAATATTTTAATTATTATTGTTATTTAACTCAATAAATTTGTTTGAAAACTATTTTTTGCAGAACTGTCATCCTAGCAACTAACTGCATATGCCCTTACCTACATATTAGACACCAGCATCTTTTCACCTTATTACCGGCTTTGCATATGACACCACAGGTACACGCACAACATCTTTTAGCTTCGATTATTTTTAGTTGCCGTTTGTAATGTGTCAGCATCCTCAAACCAACTATGTATAATACTATAAAGAAACGTTATAAAACTGAGTAATATTATATTACAATTATTAGGGGGCCTCTACACTAGCATTTATTAAGGCGCATTGTATAGGCAATTTTTATACTCAAATTTGTAAACATATATATTAACGCAGGAAAACGGATCTATTTTGGTATTTAATTTTTTTAACTATTATAACGTATATATGCCGCAATTTTCTATAAAAACAAATGTTTTTACTTTAAATAGTTTCTAAAAATACTCCCATTTAAGATTTATAAAAAACCATTTGGATACTTTATAAATCATATAAGGTACTAACCGTGGCACGATTTTAAAATTGTTTTTGTTAATTAATAATTTTTGTGTAAAAATTTGCAATTTTTTAAGTTTCTTAATGACTGTTACAATAACATTGAAAACTAGAAATGTACATCGATCGATACATCAAGCAAGTATTCAAAATTGTATATCATTTTTCAAAACTATTATCGAATTACGCGTTTTAAAGTAAGGTAAAAATTAGAATGTGTTATTTTCGACCAAACATACGCAAGCGTAGAGGCTCCTTCAGAGAAAAATTAAAAATATATTATTGTTGTCACCGAATAAGATAATTGGACATAAAAGAGCAATATCGGATGGTTTTAATCCACCAAAGGGTTGTAGAGAACCAGCATCTCTTATAATTTTATTATGTACTGCTGGTTTATTATTGTTAAAGAACCTGGTACCTGATGGAATCTCAATAGTACTGTCATCTGAATTTATTCTGTAAATATAAATTAATACTTACAATAAGATAAAATCCTAAGCAAACTTGTACATTTAATAATAACATTGTAAACTTTAAACTATCTAATAATAACTGGTATAATCAAACAATTTAAACTATATAGTACTTCTAAAGAAGTACATACCTACTAAAATATTTCATTTCAGAGTATTGTAGTGTTAGCGTTACTCAAAATAACATATTTTTAGCACATAACCTAAATGAACCAATGTTCTATATACGCTGATCAATGATTTTAAAACAAACATCCTAATCCATATTTTAACATTAAAATATACAGTTGCTTTATACAGTAAATACTGTAATGCGTATAATATATTCTACATTTAAATGTAAACGGTTCCATTTCCTATTTATTTTCATTTAATTTCATTTTAATTAAAACATTTACAGTCGTTGCCAGATAACTTGGCGGCGCGAAAACTCTGTCAGGGGTTCTCCGTATTTTATGTTTTCTTTTTGGTCTTTTATGCCTTGTCGAAGCATAGTTGATAATTTATTTTTATAAAATGTATAATAATAATAATAGTAATAACAGCAACAATAATAAAGAACCGTCGCGGCTGAACCATGTAAACACTCATCTGGTAACGACTGTACTCATTTGTGATGAATATTAAAAAGTTTTTTTTTGTTAAAATTATTGGCTGGTAAAAGTAAAATTACATATTTTATACAATGTATTATAAATAATTGAAAGAAAATTTGCAGGGATCCCGAGATTTGAATTGCCTAGGGGTCTCATAAGTGGAATCATGTATGTGATATGTTAAATGTTCACAATAACAAAGGAAAATCGATTACGACAATGGTCGATGCGATGTCTAACACATAGCTAGCTGGTTGATAAGTGTATCTTTATAATAAATAGTAAGTAGTAACAAACCAATATAGGAAACCTAAGTATTTTAGATAGTTATTTCGTCGTCGACACAAAAAACTTCCCATGTACTAAAACCTTCAAACATAAACAAAAAACAAATTACCAGTGATCTACCGAATCAAATTTTAAATTTATTAGGCCATATACTAACTAAATTTTATTTTGAAAAACATTCAAAGTAAAATGTTTTTTATAATTATGTAAACAAGTATTTGTCAATATTTTGACCATCATTTTCCATCACAAATTCTTTCTAAGAGGTATCTCTTAAACAGCCCATAGTGTGTAACACACAAGAAATGTTATCAAAATATACCTTTTTCTGAATTGTAAATTTGGTACATGGATTTTTTGTGTAAACGACGATTTATTATTTTTAAAGGTTGTCTTACTTTTTAGGGTGCAATGTTGTTTTAGAAAGAAAATTAAGTTTCCTCTGTTTCGCTAGATATACTTCGCCTATAGTACAATCGCACGGATCTTGTGGATCAAAGGGTTTTAAACGAGGCTTAAAGGTAGTTCGTGTAGTCGCCCGTATAGTTGTCGTAGTTGTCCTTGTTGATGGCGTAGTCGATTCCATAGTCGTAGTCGTCGTTGTTGATGGTGTAGTTGGTTTCTCAGTTGTAGTTGCCGTTGTTGATAGTGTAGTTGGTTCCTTTGTCGTAGTCATCGTTGTTGATGGTGTATTTGGTTTCTTAGTTGTAGTTGTCGTTGTTGATTGTATTGTTGATTTTTTAGATGTAGTTGGTGATGTTGATTTCTTGATCGTAGTTGTTTTTGTTGATTTCTTTGGCGTAGTTGTC